TTTTTTGGCAATTCTCTATGGCTTTACATGAGGGTATATTAAAATGAAACAGATGCTTTTTTGGAGTTTCTTTAAAAAAAGCTTTGGGCAGTGACTACAGAGTCTGAATTCATACAAACCCTGTGTTTAACAATCACTTGTTAAAATACATTGTATTCTAGTTCCCTGGCTGCACCTCTTAAATACTCTCTCATTTAAATTCCTTGCATTCTGGGTCACAGCTAGCAAGGACAACAAGCCACTAACAACTGTCTAACCTGTTTGACAGCTAGCCAAGTTGTCATCCTCACTGTTCAGACCAGTCCAAGACAGAGTCCTCCTCTTGGGACTGTCTTTAAGTTTCCCCTTTTGCAAGGCCTGGTTTCTACTCTTGGGTAGCAAATAACTTCTCCTGCAGCCAGATACCTGTTTGGAATGGCTTCTGATCTGAGCAAGAACCTGCCCCTGACTTTAATAGCAGTCAGCTTCATTCTCCTCCAAGGTCCCCACAGTGGCCAGGATGTCCTGCAAGAGGGACTGAGGGCTTTTCTCAATGTGGTCACTACTTCTGTTCAGAGACCTGTGCAGCCCTTCTAAGTCCACTGTTCTCAAAACCAGCAGCACACCGTTTGGGTCTTGGGATCCAGCCTCATCAGCATCACCTCTGGGACAGGGCTTGGCACAGGAACTCCATCTCCTCAGAGTCTCTTCTAACCAAGCAATACCACGCGCTTCTGTAGACAAGCCTGCACTCGTTCCTTCCTTCAGGCTGCTCTCATCACAGAGCTCAGCTTTCAAGGCAATGAGGATATCGCAGGCTTTCTGAGCCACTGGCCTGTCACAGTCACACAAAGCACCAAACAGGAACTCAAACAGTTTCACCTGGCAGAATATCTGCAGAGACTCACTCAGATGAGTGGAGCGGGTGGCAGAGGATAAGACAGCAGCATATGGGCATGCAGCAAGGCCAAGCCGTCCAAGTATCTGGGCAGAGAAAACTTCAGCCAGTTCCAAACCACCAGCTTTAACTTCCCAGTCTAAGTCGCTGTTCACAGCTTGGAGCACGCTGGAGACAAACTGCTCAGTGTCTTTCAGTACATCTGGGTGGCCTTCTCTCAGCCAGTCAATGAAGACACTGATCACAGCTCTTCTAGGGAAGCCCTCTGAGTCTGTTGATAAGATTTCTTTAAGTTGTGCTACAATGCTTTTCTAAGAATGAGAAAACAAGGAGGGAATATGTTTAAAGAAATGGAAACTCTTGGCTAAAGAATTCAAAACACTCCAGTTTCTCTCTAGTGCTTCAGCATCTTAGTTAATGGCTGCAAAATCTCCTATTTGCTCATGGGAAGTTCTACTAGATTCTGCTGTGGGTTAAACAAGGGTTATCTTCCCCCTCCCTTACCTCTTTGACATTTCCATTTTCTACACCAGGCTTCTTTGAGATGAGATGGGTGAGGAAGGACAGCTGTCCCATGGCTGTCACAGCACTTGCTCTCACGTAACTCTCTGGGTCCTCAAGAAGATCCTCTGTGAGCTTGGGCACCTCCGAAGAGAAGAGAACTTGCCTGAACCACTCCTTCTCTGTAAATATACAGCAGTCCAAAGAAAGGCTTTATTCCTCTATCCAGCCAAACTGTTTCCAATGCAAACAGCCCCTCGTCTTACCAGGATGTCTGCTGCCTGCAGAATGAGTTGAGCTGCTATGGAGACCAGACAACTGCCGGTAAGAGCACAGATGCGCTACCACAGGCTTGTTGAATTCCAGTCAAACCCCAACCCTCCCAGTTGTTAGAGCTCTCAAAATCTACTTGCCATTGGTGTGCATGCAAATGAACCTCTCCCTGGAAAGTGGGAATTTCCTCTCAGCTTGCTGAATTTAGGCTTTTATTTAAAAATGAATGTCTAGCCCTGATGGTTTTAAAGAACCTACCCAACACACGTTGAATAACTGACAGTGCCAGTGAGGGGTCTGCAGGTCCCATGAAGCACGTGTGAACTGCTCAAGGCCCAAAGCCAGAGGCTGTGTGCTAGGACAAGCAGCTGGGTTGTGCACTGGAGAGTTCCACTTTGGTTTGGGGACAGAAGTAGGGAAAAGAAAATTCTCTCCTCTCTGCCATCAAACAGGAACTGAGCTACTGTGGGGTTAACTATCCTGGCCTCAGAGCTGGGCCTCTGCCGTGTAAGGGGCGGAATGGAGGGTGAATCTGCAGTGGGCAGAAAGCCCCTTGTGCAAGCCCCCCAAATCCTGCCCCACTGCCAGCTCAGTGAAACCTTATCCATTCCACTTCGAGACACTGGTGGAGGAGGGGGACATTATTATTTGCTTTTAACAGATATGAGCTGCCTCCCTACATACCTCATTGTTTCACTGCCTCCTAGTCAGATTCCTTAAAACTGCTCTGTCTGGAACTTCAGGAGGACTCAGCACTTGGACCACAGTGGGAAAGTAGGATAAACCTACTGGATGACTTGTCAGGGTTTCTCATGGTTTAGGCCACTCAAAAGTGTTGGGTGCGATGGGTTTGTTTTTGCAAGTAGGTGAGTTTGCAGGCTAAGGTTTTTTGGGTATTAAATGCTTGGATGTGGTGATAAGCCTCAAATCTAAAATGTTACTTTCTCTGCACTTACCTCTCAGATGCTTAACCAGGAGGGTGAGAAATTCCAGGGCAGAGTCCCGTACTTCCCAGTAAGGGCTGCACAAACGCTTCTGCAGCACCAGAAACAGATCTGCACATGGCAAGCAATAGGTTTAGATCAACAGGAAGGGAACAAGTCAGTGGTAGCAATTTTTTTTTTTGTAAACATTAGCATCCTTTAAATCATCATATGCAACATCTTTTACTGCTGTTGCATACTTTCTTCAGAGATCCCTAGCACATCTTATTGGACACTGCTCCAACAGTTGTGTTATATGTAAGTATATGTGCACCTAATATAGGGATTGTGAAAGACAGGCAGAGTAGCAGTTCTATACGAGCTACTTCTCTGTTGGAACTATTTGCCCATTACTTCTGGAATACTTTATGCCATTAGTTTGACTTTACCCCCAACAGTTTCCTTACCTCGGAGAAACTGCTCAGTCTGTTGCCAGTGATCCTTGGAGCTGGGTGCCTCTGACAAACTCACCAGCCATTTGAGTGTTGCTTGAAATGACTTCTTCAGAACCTAGAACACGACGAAGCAGGGCTACAGCAATCCGAGGGAGGCTGCCCTTCTAATATTCACTTCACAAGGAGGTCTTTTTTTTTTTTTTTTGCATTTACACTGGATAACACTTGCTGAGTCTTCTCAATTGCAGCCAAACTGCTAGGGATAACAACCCAGCATCATTTATCATCAAGAACTAGGCTGCTGGTAAACATTGCCTAGATCAAGAATCCAATGGTGCCTACTTGTTTTCCTAGCAGGCTCCTGGAACATGGCTACTCTTAATACCAGCTTCTAATTTTCCAGAGTCTCGACCAGCAGGAAATCTCAGCAATGCAATAATGTAATACCAAAAACACTGGCAAACCCAGGACCAAGTACTAGAAACCCCAAGATTGAGGGAAGTGTGGTGACACACTACTCTTGGGTACAATAACTCCTGTTTCCTTTCAAGGATATTGAACACAGTCAGTTGTATAATGGCTTAATCACATTTCTTGAGCCACTTCCTCTGTCACTCAGAGCTGAGACAGGGGCCTCTTAAGATGTTCCAGTACAGTTGTTTGTGGTGTCAAACGGTTTCTCAGAACCACATCCTAATGACACTAGAATTACTGTTTTAGTAAACTATCATTTCTGTGGTTTGTTTTCTGTACTTACAGTAGGACTGGTATCTGGACTTTTCAGGTATGCAAGGAGGATGTCAAATACACTTCCGATGAATACACTGGGGCCTGAAACACAGGAAAAATGATAGCCAACGATCAATACTAATCAGAAAAAAAAGAGACGAATCAACTCTTGAAATATCAATATTTATTATAGAACTATTTGTAGGGGAGGAAAGCAAGTGTAATTCCACTAAACAGCAAAATACATTATGTCGGAAAGCAGCGGAGAAGAGGAATAGCCTACCTATAAAAACTGCTTTCATCACTAATTGCTCTAACTTACCAACAGTAATGAAGATTCATTGGTGAAGTTGATGTATGGGCTGAGAAGCCCAGAACTGAACAAACTTGGGAACCGGATTGTTCTTATACCTCAAAATGGTGGACCCAGACCCAGAGGCTGAGAGAGAAAATGGGTACAGGACACTTTGCACTGCTACAAATCTAGAATGGCTACAAGTTCCAGAAATAAGTAAATACACTGAAGCATAAAACGTGGAAAACACTCACTTTCCCAGTGAGAGAGCGCTCCCAGGATGTCAAGTGCTGACCGTTGAACTCTGAAGCAACCAATCAGGATTCTACTGATCTTGTTTCCCAGACAGGATGCTGGAGTCGCAAGGCCAATACAGAATTGCAATATTGTCACTACAGACTGTAGCAAAGGTATATGGGGCAAATCCACTGGCAAGCAGGTCTGAGAGAGAAAGCAGATACGTTTCTAGCAAATACCTCATGCATGTGTTTGTATATATGTAGTGTATGTATTTTTATATTACAAGAGAAGTTGGAGAGGATGGGCAGAAACCTGTTTCATTCTAATGTGGCATCATCCCTGTGGTATCACAAGTCTGATAGTTATGAACAGGTTCCCTCCCACACCCCAAAAAGCTATTGCACAAATGAGGGAGGGTTACTATTAGGACTAGAGAAAGCAATTTAACAGGGTTTACAATAGATGAGACGTCAGAATCTGAAAGAAAACTTATGAATAGAAACTTCTGCAGTGCTAGATGGCAAACTTGGTATGGGTGGGTGAAGGAGGAAAGATGATCATCTCTCTGCCATCACTGACATGTGGTGGACAGTAGCCTCAAATCCACTGTTATGGTTGTGATGCATAAGCTAAGTGCAGCCTTCTTTTAAAGCTTAACTATGCCTGTTCTGCGAGTGAGGTAGAAGCAAGATGGGAGAAGAGGGTAGTAGATTTCTTCTTTAACTAGATGTGTCACCAGTGGAAAGTCCCTACTGCCAACCTTTCTCCGTGTTCTGTTTGGTTGCAGATTTTCACAATAAGGCCTATCTTAATGAAATCTTTCAAGTAACCCATTCCTTCCCCAGACCACTACCAGGTACTGCAGCTCCTCCAGATGAGTCAACGTCTGACACAGGAGGCTAGCACAAGAGGATCTGCAGGACAGAAGAGTTTCAACAGTGGCAGAATCATTCACAGACCTATTCAGCAAACCTGGAGATGGAAAGGAGAAGAGACCTGAGGTTAGCATAGGACAGCAATGGGTTTGAAATAGAGACGGCAACAGAGTTTTAAGTAAAGGAAGGAATAGATTTAGTGCCATCCTTCACTGAAGAATAAGACCCTGTCCTCAGCAGGATACTGTATACCAGGGATCAGCAACGTTGGGCACGCGGCTCGCCAGGGTAAGCCCCTTGGCGGGCCAGCCCGGTTTGTTTACTTGCCGCGTCCGCAGGTGCGGCCGATCACGGCTCCCACTGGCCGCGGTTCACTGCTCCCACTGGCCGCAGTTCGCTGCTCCAGGCCAATGGGGGCTGCGGGAAGCAGCAGCCAGCACATCCCTCATCCTGCACCGCTTCCCGCAGCCCCCATTGGCCTGGAGTGGCGAACCGCGGCCAGTGGGAGCCGCGATCGGCCAAACCTGTGGACGCGGCAAGTAAACAAACTGGCCCGGCCCGCCAGGGGGATTACCCTGGTGGGCCGCGGGCCAAATGTTGCCGATCCCTGCTGTATACTCTGGCAGCTATATCACAAACACTGCTTCTTGACTTTAGTCTCACTTTTACACAACAGTTGTTACTTCAATTGTTCACTCCCCCCCACTCATGAAAGATACAACTCATACCCCCATTCCTTCTGGATACAGTCTTGTCCTTTATAGGCAGATTGGTTGTTTATCCTTCACTTATCTATAACTATTATACCTGGATATTCCAAGGGTTGGGAGGCTGCTTTCAGAACACAGTCCATTGGTTGAAGCAGAACACTCAGAGCTTGGATCTTTACTGCCTGTGGGCTTCAAAGGAAGAAGTAGCAGTGAACAGACAACACTTCGTTCTCCCTGAGTGTCTGCCCCCAAATTCTGATTAGTAAATTCATAACAATTCACAAGAGTAGATTCTTTCAGCCTTAAATCAGGCTGGTACTGGTGGGAGAGTATCACGTTGCCATGTGTGCCAAGCTCTGTCCCAAGCTTCCTGCGCAAAGCCAGGAGAGGAAGGAGAAAGGTCTTTTTGGTTTTCAAGCAATGTCACTGCAATAGAGCTGACTGGTTTTGGTGGGAAGTTTTCCAAGAGAGGGGGCGGAATCCCGGGTGACCACCTTCCCATCTAAACAATGTCATATACTCAGAGTGTAGGCATCACTTAACCTGCAACACTGGATCATGTGCACCCAATAATTCTCTCCTATTTATAATTAAATTAATTGCTCCTCACATTTCTGGTTTAGATAGAAGTCCCTAGAGCAACGATGGTGATTTCTGCTGGCAAGCAGAGAGGGTACTTCTATTAGACAGCATATGTGAAGGGGAAGGAAATAGAGGGAAGTCGTGTTTGAGTTGCACTCAAGATAATGCCTACTCTGAATGTTTGTTTTTGCTTTCTAGCGCCAAAGTTAAGTTTGTCATTCCGACCCTAGAGGCTGGCTGACTGTAGGTGGGATTTGAGAGCATGTACAGGGCATTTGCTTCTCCTGTTCCTCGTGTTTGGAACTGGACTGTCAAACCATCAGCATGTGCAACTCCTGGACACACTTTCTGTCCCATTGGCAGTGAGTTGCACCACAAAGTTTCCCTCCTCCTATAGAAGAACACTGACAATCAGAAAGGGACTTGACAACTTATTAAAAGATTTGCAGAATAATATTCCAAGAACGTAAGAAAGCTTTTTAAAGTTTGATACCAACAATTCATACCATTCCTGAAGCTTCAGTACTCCCACTGCCAAACGACCAACTTGAGCTGGGTTTAAGTGCTCCAGAGCACACGTTACTGATGTCCACAGGCTACATTCAGGGCAGCTAAACACAGGAGACCTAGAAAGAAAGAAGTGTTAACACATTTTTGGGGAACACCTTGGAAAAGACAACCACATTTCTTGTAATATTTTGGACAGTACTGCATGAATCCAGGTTCCAAAGAGGTCTTTACCTTGCCATACTAAGGAAAAGGTCCACCAGTGAGTGCCCGGCATGGACTGGCTCCTCCTCCAAGAGATATACAATTCGCTCTGATAGCCGTGACCAAAGTACTTCAGTCCACAGATCATGACAGCATCCAAACACACTAGTTAGCAGCTTCAAGGATTGCTTGATACGAGAGGCAGAGTTGGATTTAAGGGACTCTTCAATGTGCACTATAAGCTTTTGAGCACATATTGGCCAATCACAGTCCTTTATATTTTCAGGTTTAGTCTGGAATGACTGTAGAGAGAAGGTAAGCACGTGCACTAAAAGCTGATTGGCAGCTGAAGCCACAAACAGGCTGGGGTCTCCCTGCAGAGTGAAGATCACATCTATGGCTCCTATGTCAAAGGGAAAAAACAACAACAAAAAAGCCATGACACTCAAAGAAACAAGAGTTTTGTTGCAACTTGGAGACTTCATTGCAATCTGATCATGTGTCATCCTACTTCTGAGTAACTCACACAAGTTAAAATGAAAACAAAAATGTAATGTTACACATGAACAGACTGAGAAAAGTCAGTCTATCCATCATTGACCAAAGGAAATAAAAATGACAATGGCTGGCATTGTAAAATTTCTATTTTTCCAACTGTAAGATTATAGGGGCTGTGATAGACAGCTTATGCTCTCCCGCCAACATAGCGCAGTGCACACTACCACTGATGCCAGCCAAACTTATGTCATTCAGGATGTGTTACTGTGGTTTAAAGAGAATGAATAGAATCTTCAGGGTCTAGGAACTGACAGCTGGAGGAGGCCGTTAGTTTTAGTTTAGACTGATAAATTGATCTGAGTTAAGATGTTCTGTATATGTTAACTAGGTATCTAATAAAGACTATTATCAGCCATTAATTATTAAGACTAGTGGATTACTTGACTATAAAAGACAAATAGGATTGCTCACATGGAGTAAAATCTACAAGCCCAATTAAAAGTGTGGGGGAACGAAACCTGGGTTAATTTCCCTAGAGTACAATAATCCTGAACTATTTCTAATAGACTGCAAATAAGAATTTCTATTTTGAAGGCTTTCTAATGCACTGTTTTTACTTTGCCTATTGGGTAAGTGTGTGTTTCTCCCTCCAACATGGAAGCTATTTTTTTTTTTTATATTGAGGAACCTTAATACACATGTACGTGTAACAAAAATATAGCAATACAATTAACTTTTACAACAGCTTAAGTCCCTTCTGTCATTGTTTCCTCATTTTATTTTTCTAAAAGTAAAATAATGACATCTAAACAGAATATCCTACGACGATTCTGCTCATTTAACACTTAAGTGACAGATTACAATAGCCAAGGCACAGTAACAATTTAAGAAGTTAAAGAATACTGGCAAGAAACAGTGCTCACCACAGCTGCACAAAAAATGGAGGGCGCTCTGGTGCTGCACCATGCTGTGCACACCCTGGACCCAGCCGCTTCGCACAGATGCCTCTTCCCACAGAGCACTGCTGAGAGGCCCCACCTCTCCAAAGAGACTGATCAACAGCTCCCTCTGCTGAGTCAAGACGAGAGAACAAGTAAACTATGCAGCAAGCAGTTTTGGGGTCTTGTAGATTAGCTGTGTATATCAATTTGATAATAACTACCGCAGTGAAACCCTACCTAATTAAAACATTTAATAAAAGTGCTGTGCATATCTAGGAAAAACACCTGTCACATGCTTAACCGGGAGTGAGCAAAATGTTAACCATTTGAATGAGATTCTTAGAACTTTAGGAAAAATTCTAAGGCTATGACCACCCCATGAGGTTGTTTCCTAGCCAGGTGTTCTCTTCCCTGTAGGCCTCTATCTGACTTTAGAGCATACTCTAAATTCAGATACCACCATACAAAACAAGGGGATTTAAAAAACATATTTCCCTCATATTTGAGGCACACTGAGACTGCTGGGTCCCCACCCTATCCTACCCACAGGAAAAACTATGTTTCATTATTGCAATTTAAATTAAAAGGATCTTTCTGGGGAGATACTATTATCCAGCCACCGCTGTAGGATGCTGTTAGAAGGTCACACACTACAAGGCACTTTAAAGATGAAAAACACTATATAAAATTATTATTATTGTGTGCTATTATTCGAAGCACATCATATGGCAGAGACAAGAAAGTGGTGACTCCATTAAGTCAGAATTCCCATGGTTTAGTAGGTTTAAGTCTGTCTTACTGTATTAATATTTGGCATGTACTAGCTACTTTGTCTGAAGCATGTATACTCTAAGAAAGTTTTCACAAATTAAACCACTGCCCAAAATGTGTTTAGATCACTGTTAATTTAGTGTAGATTGAATGAGGGATACTTGTGTATACCATGGCTTTACGGGGTTTATTTTCCTCCTTCCACAATGCACCCGTTTTGAGAAAAGCATCCTGGAGCCTGGTTAGTCTGACCTCTTGTATATCACAGAGCACTAAATTTCACCCAGTTATCACTGTATTAAGCCGAATAACTTGCGTCTGGCTAAAGCATATCTTCCAGAAAGGCACTCAGTTTTGATCCGAAGACATCAAGAGATTGAGAATTCATTACTTCCCCTACTTCGTAGTTTGTTCCAGTGGTTAATCACACTCACTGTTAAATTTATGCCTAATTTCTAATTTAATCTGTCTGACTTCTGTTTCCAGCCATTGGTTCTTGTTACGCATTTGTCTGCTAGATTAAAGAGGCCTTTAGTACACAGTTCTTTCTTCCCATGACAGCACTTAAATAATGTAATCAAGTCACCCTCAGTCGTCTTTTTGATAAGCTAAACAGATTGAACTCTTTCAGTCTCTAACTGTAAAGTATTTTCTCCTGTCCTTTGAATAATTCTTGCAGTTCTCTTCAATGCCCTCTTTAAACCACTTTTTTTTTTTTAAAATGTGGACACCAAGACTGGACGTAGTATTCTAGTATTGGTCTCACTAAAGACTGTACAGAGGGGTAAAATCACCTCCCTACTCCCTTATTTGTACAGCCATGGATCACATTCGTCCTCTTGCCACAGCATCACACTGGGAGCTCATGTTCAGTTGCTTATCCTTTGAGCCCTAAATCCTTTTCAGAGTCACTGCTTTCCAAGATACAGCCCCCCTATTCTGTAGATATGGCTTGCATGCCTTGTCCCTAGATGTATAACTTTGCATTTGACTGTATTAAAACCCATTTTGTTTGAATGGGTCAGGTTACCAAGTGATCCAGATCACTCTGTATGACTGCCCTGTCCTCACTGTTATTTACCACTCCACCTCTCTTTGTCACCTGTAAGTTTGACCAGTAATTTTTTATATTTACATCCAGATCACTGAATGCATTGAACAGTATCAGATCTAGTACAGATCCCTATGGAACCCTACTAGAAACACTCCCATGTGATGATGCCCCATTGAAAACTACTTTTTGAGATCTGTCAGTTAGCCAGTAGATCCATTTAGTGTGCTCCTTTTATATGGTATAGTGCTAATTTTATAAACAATGTCATGTGGTAGAAGTCAAATGCCTTAAAGTCTAAGTATATTACATCTACAGAGTTACCTTATCAACTACACTTTTAATTGCAGAAGAATTCAATCAGATTCATTTAACAAGACCTGTTTTCCATAAAACCAGGTTGACTTACACTAGTTATATTCCTAACTTTTGCTTTTTATCAACTGAATTCCATTATTAGCTTTTCCATTATTTTGCCTGGAATTCATGTCAGCTTAACTAACCTATCGCTACTCAAGTCATCCTACTTGCCTTTTTTTAATATTAGGATAACATTAGCACTCTTCCAGTCTTTTGGATTTTCCCACTATTCCAAGATTTATGAAAATCAATATCAGCATGTCACAGATCTACTCAGCCAACGCTTTTAGGACTCTACAGGCAAGTTATGTAGACCTGCAGATTTAAAAATGTGTATGCCTCGTAGATGTTGTCTAACATCCTCCTCAGTTGCTAATGAACTGGAAAGTACTTCATCTTCATATGATACAAGTACATAATGCTGCTTCTTTCCAAATACAGAACAGAAATATTTATTGAACACTTCTGTCTTTTGTGCGTTATTAAAAATGTTAACATCTCATCTAGAAATGGGCCTATATCATTGCTCGGATGTCTTTTGTTCCTAATATACTTATTGTTCTTTGCCCTGCCAGCCATTGAGTGTCCTCTAAAGTCTTTAGCTTCTCTTATCAATTTACTACACTTTGTAACTTTTAATTTATATTGATTACTATTTCCCCTTTTTTAATATATTGCCTTTTTATTTCTAATTGCTGCCTTTACTTCACCACTGAAGCAGTATGGGCTTTTAGCCAAAGTTGTCCTCTTTCTTGAATGAGGAATCATCATTTTCTGGCCATCTTAAACTCTTCTTTAAAAGAATTCCCAATTTTCATTCACATTTTTCTGACTATGTTTTCCTCCCAGTCAATTTTGCTCAATTTTTCTCAGCCTTGGAAATTAGCTCTTCTGAAGCAGCCCATAAATATATCACTGGTTGGTGCTGTCTTCTGTTTTCCTATGTTGACTATAAGTAAGTCATGATCACTGGTCTGTAGGTAACCACCAACTTTCAGTGACTAATTAATTCATTTTTATACATCATCCTGAGGTCCAAAGTAGTGAGCTCACAGGGGATGCAATACTTTGTGCTAAAAGGTCGTCTGTGATTTTTATAAAATGTGTTTTGGTAGCACATTGTAAAGCAGAGTTCTGACACGAAGCCATGTAAATTAACTGATTAATTTTGAATGATGGTATATAACCAGAATTCAGGAAATGCAAAGTTAAAACCCACTGAAGATAGTACCTGCATAGGAGCATGCACACAAAACTCTTTGAAAAACAGTTTACTTATTGTCACATGCCTCAAAAGAGATCAACAAACGTGAGACAGTCATACAAGCGGTCATTCTATACTCAGTTTTGGGGCTGAGACATGTCCTTTCTCTTTCCCTCTCCCAAGCATTTGACAGCTATGTTCTGCATACATACCCTGTTGCATGCAAGGATGAGCAAGTAGCGGCTTTTACTGCCTTTTGTCTGCTCTGACAATCCCATAGAGTGAATCTAGCAACAGGACTCAATGCTTGAATGACTTCAGGATTGGAATGTTCTTACTAGAAAATAACCCTACATAACTATGGTTGTATTTTATTAAGGTGAGGTCGACAAAAGCTGAGTAGTGGAAGGGCTTCTGTGATTAGTCGCTTAAGCCTTAACTTACCTGTAAATACTGGAAGCAGCTTTCAGAGGCTGCGAATATCCCTGTTAATCTCAGAATAAAGGAAAGAGTGCTAGAACTTGGATCCTTCAGTTTCAGCACACACGTGATGAGCTCTGTCAAGCATGGATTCTCCTGTAACAGCAGCAGGCTAGATTCTGGGGAAGAAATATCCATGGAAGGTAGAGCAACAATTGACTATCATTTCTAGGACATCTCTATTTTGTATTACAGTTCTAGCAGGTTCACCTAAAAACCAACAAGAGTAAAGTGTACCCACTTAGTTGTCAGTTGGACAAGGATTCAGAAGGGTTTAAAACACCGGCCCTTTTACAGACCTTAATTAATATTTTATTAGATTAAGAATCTCCGCCACTTACAAGGAGTGAAACAAAACTTCACTTGTAAAGCTTTTCTGTGTTCTTGTTACAGTATGAAAGTGTCCAGACAGCACCCTCCAAACTGAGGGAAGCTTCTATCACCCTCAGACAACCTACCATTTTATTAAAAATCTATAGGTACAACCAACTGGTATGTACAATATTAATTCTCCTTAAACACATCTATGATGATCCCTCTGGCTGCCAAGAGGCATAGGCCAAATCAAGAGAGCCAGAATTACCTGTTTCAGTCAGAGTCTTAAACCAGTCCAGAAATTTCTCTAGAAAGGTGTCATCTGCAACAAGTTGCCTTGAGTCTGCTAGAACTGCACAAACAGAAGGCAGGAGCTGAGAACATTCCCTGTCCATAATGCATCTGGTTTTCTTCTGGTAAAAGAATGTGAGAAACAAACTCAGTGGAAGTGCATCTCCATAACAAGGTAACATTGAAAGTCAAGTAGGGAGGTACAAGGTAGACACACTTTGCTGTGAAATCTAAGGGCTTGTCTACACTACCCACCGGATCGACGGGCAGCGATTGATCCAGCAGGGGTCGACTGATGCAATAAATTGACCGCTGAGCACTCTCCCATCGACTCCGGTACTCCACCGGAACGAGAAGCACAAGCGGAGTCGACGGGGGAGCGTCAGCTGTCGACTTACCACAGTGAAGGCACGGCGGTAAGTAGATCTAAGTATGTTGACTTCAGCTACACTATTCACATAACTGAAGTTGCATATCTTAGATCGACCCTGCGTGGTAGTGTAGACAAGCCTTAAGAGAGACAGTGCTTTACATCTGAAAGCCTGCAACTGAATCTGATAACAAGCAGCATTTATTCTGCTGCTTTTAGCCTCAAAGTGCTTTACAAACATTAAATCATGCTTTCTATTTGACTCCCACTATTTCAGGAACCAGAATGATGTAAAGATATAGGACCAAATCCTCAAAGGCAGTGGGTCTCAAACTTTTTTTACTGGCGACCCCTTTCACACAGCAAGCCTCTGAGTGCGACCCCCCCCCAATAAATTAAACACACTTGTTTTTATATTTAACACCATTATAAATGCTGGAGGCAAGCAGGGTTTGGGGTGGAGGTTGACAGCTCACGACCCCCCCTATAATAACCTTGTGACCCCCAGTTTGAGAACCCCTGCTCAAAGGGATCCCAAATAAATACCGCTGAGGACCTGGCCCAGAGACGCTCTCAGCGAGCGGGCTGAGCCAGCTACCCACAGCCGATCCGCAGGCTCCCCGGAGCCCAGCTGTCCGCGCTCTGGCTCCAGGCACAGGGGGAGAGGAAAGCCTGCCGCCCCAGGGCTCCCTCCACATCTAGGGGGCGGCCAGCACCACCCCGCCGACTCAGCGCGGGCCCCGCTCCAGCCGACCTCCCCCTGCAGCGCCGGGGGAGCGCCCGGCCCACGCCACTCGCCCGCTGCAGGAGCGGCCCGCAGGGCAGGGCAGGGCAGGTGTCCTCCCGGAAGCCCCGAGCAGGGGAACGGGTCTGAGGCACCCACCTCACCCCAGACAGCGCCGGCTTCTCCCCTTCAGACCGGCCGCCAACCACGCCTCCCACCTACTGTCGTAAAACGGCGCAGAAGCGGAATAGCCAAGGGGCGGAGCTACGGGACTATAGGGGCGGGGCGGTGGGAGGCTGGGCAGGGGGGTTTCTCGGGGTAAAATTATACCGACAGTGGGGGTCGGGCGTTTCTGCGCACAAATGTGCACTGGTATTAACTAAAGTGGTGCAGACGCAGAGCCCTGTGTGGACACGCTTTACTGGTTTGAGAGCGATCATAGCAATTTTCATCAGTAGCAGCAAGCTATGGCGCTCTGTCAGTTTTAAATCAATGTCATAGTGCCTGTACGCTGCCACTTTATCTTTATCTGGCTTCACTGAATAAAAGGGGGGAGAGGGGGATTTGTATTGGAAGAGCTGTCTCCATGCGTCTGACGAAAGCTTACCTGTTCTTCTTTATGCTCCAATACGTCTGTTAGTCTATAACAGGGGTAGGCAACCTATGGCACGCGTGCCGAAGGCGGCACGCAAGCTGATTTTCAGTAGCACTCACACTGCCCGGGTCCTGACCACCAGTCCGGGGGGCTCTGCATTTTAATTTAATTTTAAATGAAGATTCTTAAACATTTTTAAAACCTTGTTTACTTTATATACAACAATAGTTTAGTTATATATTATAGACTTATAGAAAGACACCTTCTAAAAACGTTAAAATATATTACTGGCACGCGAAACCTTAAATTAGAGGGAATAAATGAAGACTCGGCACACCACTTCTGAAAGGTTGCCGACCCCTGGTCTATAAGTTGCCACAGGACTTTTTGTTGCTTTTTACATCTCCAGTTAGCTATCGCAAGGTAAAATCCTAGAGGAGACAAGGCAAGTTTTCCCCTGATGTTCCTAGTCAAGATGAGCCTCAATGAGGACTGTAGGAATATCCCATAAGGGTATAAACTATACTGGTGTGAGGCAGCTTATACTGATATAAATGTGTCCACACGAGGGATTGTATCCATTTAGCTATATTGTTAGACTATCACACTTCTAACTGAAATAGTTAAATCTATTTAAAAAATGTGTGTAGCCTAGGCCTACTTGTTGGCAGCTATGCACAGGGTTCTTCACAAACAGTTAAGCTCCACTTATGCAGCAGGAGGCTTGAGAGGTAGAGGGGACCTAAAGATCATATACTGTACAATTCTTTATGGAGGAGAAATCAGTTACATTTGGGGTGTATCTCAAAGAATCATCTCTTTAACCCCATTTCCCCAAATCATCAGGCTGGCCCTGGTGGTCAGGAGGCAGTTATATTTGGGGAATGGAAAACTACAGGCCTGTCCAAAAATGGTAAGGCTGACTCTGTGAGAGGTGAGCTGGAAGAACAGTTCCCACTTGATCTGAATTCAGAAGTCTGTCACTTTTTCTGAAAGCAAGACCCTGAGAACCTCTGGGGATTTCTGCTTGCTGAAGGACCACTTGATGGCACTATTGCTCCACATAAATACCTACAATGCCCCTTTGGTGTTTCTCATCCCAATATGATTTTTAAAGACATCAGGTAAGTGTTAATGCTCTTTTTATTGGGTTTAGGGTTTGCTGGTTTTCATTGTATTATTCTTACTTTAATAAATGAGATACAGCCCCATCCTGAGTGCTTTGTGTGGGATCATGCCTCTCAGCTATCCCTCATGATGAGAGAGAATACTATCCCCACGCAAGCTTGAGGTGTAAATTATCAACACTAGAAATGTGGAAGTTATAGAAGTGTAATGTAAATGCAGCGAGGCTAGCTTTCTTGTGTCCCTTGTCATTGCCACTGTCCCACAACAGGCCTTGTGCTTGGGCCTTGGCAAATTAAAGATACATATGCCTACAATAACCCTTTCCCCCAACATTTTCCCACTGTTGCTACTACTAGTTCAGTTCCACTATTGGTATCAAGTATAAGAGCACTGGCATAAATAAGTAACAGTGCTGGCTTTTTTACCACAAGGCATTTGGAACTTCTCTGCGTAGGGTTAGACAACAAGGTGGTAAAATACACATTGGACGCTGCAAGAGTGCAGTCTACACTAGCACTTCCAGTGGTAGAACTGGTGGTAGGTAGTAACTGGGGAATTTTGGAGTGTAGACACAGTTGTCTGTGTGTCAATTGCAGCAAGATGCGACCCTTGAAAGAAAAAAATATATAATGGTAAATAATAGAAACCAGGATACCAATAATACTTTTCACTTCTATGGTGCCGTCCATCAGAGGATCTGAAAGCACCATACAAATATTAATGAACTAGGTTTCACACATACAGGAGTGAGGTAGTAACTCCCTTTTACAGATGGAGAAAGGAGGCACAGAGCAGCTGACTGATTTGTCCACGGCCACACAGGGAGTTGGTGGGGGGCTGCTGAGATTCATATTTAATCCTTTGACGTCTGGACCTGGGGCTTTAAGAAAAAGACCAGACTTTGTGCCATTGGCCAGACTGCGTGAAGACCCACAGGTGCCATCTGTACATGGCCTTCAGCGCCAGCATCTGGTGCTGCGGGGGGCCTTGAGAACCAGCCCTCCCTGGGGATCAGCGTCTGACCATGGCCCTGTGGGCCCAGAGGAGGGTCCCTCATATTGGGTGCCAGGCCAGACTCTGTGCGTGGGGCCCTTGTGTGGGTGTCTGGCCCTCGCCTGGGTAACCCCATCAGTAGGGCTTCCCCAGCCCCTGCCTGCTGGCTCCCCAGCTGAACTCGTTGCTCCCCTGCTCTGTGTTCTCCTAACTCCGAGCAAACACTTGGTTGTCCCAGCCCCGTGACGAAGCCGCTTCCCCAAACCCCGGGTGCAGAGACGCTTGGCCCGGGCGTCCCGTGCCCTATTCATCCGGGTATTGGCGCGGCTGCCGCGGCTGGTTGCCATGGCCTCGGAAACCCGGAAGTTCTGAGGGGAGGGGGTTCGATCCAGGCCGGGACCGCCGGACGCTGCCCTCAGGCCGCCCTGTCCTCCCTCCCGCCTGGTGACATGCACCTGCCGAGCCCGCTCCCCCGAAGCGGCTCCTGTGATCCGGCCGCTCCCTGAGCGCCGCTCGCGCCATGTCCCTAGCGACCAGCGAGGCGGCCACGGAGGGGGAGCTGGTGAGCTCGGGGACAGGGGGAATCGAATGGGAGCGGCTGGAAGAGGGACCGGGACCGGGGGAGATGGGGAGGGGGGGCAGTGGGACCGGGGGAGGGAGATGGGGAGGG